GTTAAACATATTATGTTAAACATATTATGTTTAACAGTCTCCGTGGTGTAGTGGTAAGACACTCGCCTGGCGTTCCGCGAGCGCTATGTCATGGGTTCGTATCCTGGCCGGGGAGGATTTACTGGGCGCAATTCCTTAACTATTGCCTCTGTTTAACGCAACAGTAAAATGTGTACTTGGTTGTAACAACGATTCTTCGCGGCGGGGATCGTATTCCAGGGACCTGCCCGAAACGCTACGCGTACTAGTGGCTGTACAAGAATGTAACAACTCTTGTATATATCTCAAAATCTCTCAAAAAAATAATGCAAATTGTATTTAAAATTGTTGATGTTATATTTTAAACGGTTTTATCTTGTTAATACTGCTTAAATCATCCGTTTTGGTAAGCCAGAGATCATTGCGGACAAGATTATCTTGAGGTTATCTCGAGATGATTTCGGGGCTTAGCGTCCCCGCGGCCCGGTCCTCGACCAGGCCTCCACCCCCAGGAAGCAGCCCGTAGCAGCTGTCTAACTCCCAGGTACCTATTTACTGCTAGGTGAACAGAGGGGCCATCAGGGGAGAAAGAAACTCAGCCCATTTGTTTCCGCCTCCACCGGGAATCGAACCCGAAACCTCAGGACTACGAATCCCGAGCGCTGTCCACTCAGCCGTCAGGCCCCCCTAGGAGGAGGGTTAAGTAGCGTCTTGACGCCATCAGCGCGTTACAGGTGACGTACAGGTGACGTACAGGTGACGTACAGGTGACGTACAGGTGACGTACAAGCAATTACCAAAAGAATGCACCAAGTTTGGAAAACTGTAAAGTTGGGATACTTACCTGGGCGGCGGCGGCGGCGGCCAGTCGACTCAACCACTTCGTTCCTTACCTGGAAAAACAATTCACAGTCATTTATGGTCATTTAATAACAGTAAAAGTGTTGCTGGGTGGTGGTTATAGATGCTGCTACTCGGAACAAAAGTTGCAAGTAGCACGGGCTATGGTGAGCCCGTAGTGGACTTACCTGGCACAGGAGCGGGGCAAGTAGCACGGGCTATGGTGAGCCCGTAGTGGACTTACCTGGTACAGGAGCGGGGCAAGTAGCACGGGCTATGGTGAGCCCGTAGTGGACTTACCTGGCACAGGAGCGGGGCAAGTAGCACGGGCTATGGTGAGCCCGTGGTGGACTTACCTGGCACAGGAGCGGGGCAAGTAGCACGGGCTATGGTGAGCCCGTAACTTACCTGGCACAGGAGCGGGGCAAGTAGCACGGGCTATGGTGAGCCCGTTGAGGACTTACCTGGTACAGGAGCGGGGCAAGTAGCACGGGCTATGGTGAGCCCGTAGTGGAATTGGGTTGTGTTATTTCCTCAAAGATATCCAGTCACTAAGGATTCTATCGAGGGACAAATGGCGTTGAGGAACATTTGAAAAGCAACACAAACGTCCTGAAAATTGGAACATTCTACAAGGAAGTGCACGACCACAAGAGGGACAGTTTGGGCAATAAGTATTAGGGCGGCGCTCCATTAAGTGCCCGAGAGTTAAGCATCTTTGACCAATACGTAGCCTATCCAGAGCCGTTTCCCACCGCCGGTTACGGTAGTAAGAGGAAGGCCAAAGGGGTCAGGCAACCCTTCAGAACATGTTTGTTGCCCGTAAGATAACAGTATAACACAAGATAACAGTATAACACGTGTGTGTGCAGCAGATAGTGAGAACTCCCACCTCTCGGTGCTAGGAGCAGGTAGAACATGTCAACGGTGTAGGAGATATTAATGTCATCCATTGCCGCCTCGCTCATCCGCTTGTGACTACCGAATCTACATCAAAAAGATAACCGCAGGACCCGGTTTAGGGGAGCCGGTCGGCCGAGCGGACAGCACACTGGACTTGTGATCCTGTAGTCCCGGGTTCGATCCCGGGCGCCAGCGAGAAACAATGGGCAGAGTTTCTTTCACCCTATGCCCCTGTTACATATCAGTAAAATAGGTACCTGGGTGTTAGTCAGCTGTCACGGGCTGCTTCCTGGGGGTGGAGGCCTGGTCGAGGACCGGGCCGCGGGGACACTAAAAAGCCCCGAAATCATCTCAAGATAACCTCAAGATAACCTCTCACTGCCTGCATCAGTTGTTAAGGTGTATATTCCATGTGTTATATATTTAATAATCATATATTATATTATTATTAATAATCATATATTATTATATATAATATTTAATAATCATATATCTTGAAGGAGACTTAATATAGCTGCAGCTCTTTCCGTGTTCGAAGACTGTTTAGCCGACAATGTCATGTGTCAGAAACTAGAGTTCTACTTAGTGTTAACTTAGAGAAAGTTATAAGGTATTATTTACCCAATAATAGCAGTTAATCATTTCAAGCAAGCATTTTTTTGTAGTAAATTAGGAGTTCTACACCTGTTAATTTCAATCTACAACCCGGTTTTAGTGTTTCACAACATTAAAGTGATTTTCAAATGTTAATCCAACTCGAGCGATGTGAGCATTTACTGCCTAACACACGGGAAACATACCATAGCAGAGGAATCGACCAGGTAGACAAGGATAAACTATTCAACATTGGTGGTACGCGAACAAGAGAGTATTAGAGAGTATTCTTTCATAAAACAATCATAAAACTAAAAAACTGCCCGAAACGCTTTGCGTAATAGTGGCTTTAGGCATTGTGTGTACTAGCTCTATCTATAAATCTAGCAATTTTTGTAAAATCTCTTGTATGTACCTTACCTGAATAAACATTTATTTATTTATTTATTTTTTACTATTTATAACAAGGACACAGGTGGAAACCGAGTACCCACATGAGCCACAGGGACGTTAGAAAGAACTTTTTCAGCGTCAGAGTAGTTAACAGGTGGAATGCATTAGGCAGTGATGTGGTGGAGGCTGACTCCATACACAGTTCCAGATGTAGATATGATAGAACCCAGTAGGCTCAGGAACCTGTACACCAGTTGATTGACGGTTGAGAGGCGGGACCAAAGAGCCAAACCTCAACCCCCGCAAGCACAAATAGGCGAGTACACGTGAGTGCTACAAGGGTGAACATTTTCCCCAAGTCCAGGAAAGCAATACCATCGTCTCTAGCTACACGTTACAAAAACGTTGTCAACGTAGCACTGCATATCCATTAGGAAAAAGCAAGACCAGCAGCGGCGTTTTAGGTCTGATTCACCAAGGATCCTGTCGAAAAAAAGGTGGCAGTATTGATCGTGTCCAACCAGAAAATCAGAGTATCCTACGAGGAAGTGAATGACTAAATTGTACAATTATCAAGCCGGAAAGTTGTAGAAGTCCGTGTCACTGGATTTTCAAAAGGCATTAAACATTGCTTAGGATGCCAATACGAGAAAATGCAAGCGATCTATATCAAAGGCATCACATTCACTAAGGATTGTATCGAGGGACATCAAGAGAGCAAGAAAACTTTAAAATCTATACATTCTAAAAGGTGGTGAACGATCAACTGGAACAATGTAGTTCGGACAATAAGCAGGAGGGTAACAATTAACTGCCCGAGAATTAAGCAAGCATGGCTAATACCTAACCTAGCCAGAGCCGTTTCCTTTCGTCTATAATAGAACAAAAATAGGTTACCTTTAAGTGCAGTTTGTGGTATTTAACTAGACCAACAGTAGCAGAATGAGGCATGAAATAGGATGGACATGAATATGAATAAGTGATGTGCCTTTTTAGTTAACAGGACAAGTGAAGATAGCGTTAACGGCAGTGTCCGCATGTTCATTTAAGGTAACCAACATGTCTTTCAAACCCAACAAAATTTCGTCTTTGAATCTACTAAAGATTCTTTCTCTACCATCTCAGGTTGTATGGTACATGCAACCCGCCCTCCGAAGACCCAAAAGTGATGCCACGCACCAGCCAAACCGTTTATGAATGAAAAACTTTACACGCAATTGAGATTCGAACACTTCTGGAACAAGTGCTTCACTAATTTTGTTCGAACAACGTAAGTGCTTCACCCACGTACTACAAATAATCGCCAACAGAACCTAAACACCTAACCTAAATATGCACAAAGCTATAATATTAATTTGAGAAAATTTCCTTTTTGAATGTAAAAATTTTAATTGCATGTAAAAATTCACGAATGAGTGGGGGTCGACCGCTGGATGTAATGTACTAGTCTAGGACTGGTGTATGACCCTAGTCTAGGACTGGTGTATGACCCGAGCCATGAGGGAACCAAGAGTCTACCTGTAACCTCAACATTAGCCTCTGAAGAGCATACAAAACCATGAAGTTCAAAGGTGAAGATGCAAGTCTCCCGAGGCAGGCTGGAGTACATGTTTGGCCAAGAAAGGCTAAGGAGTGACAGGCACTCTGCACAAGCTTGTGCCGAGCAAAGACGAGGGTTGGGGGAAGATTTGAGGAAGTTTCGCCTCAAGTAAATAAGTAATTATCAAAAGGCACCAAACCGGGAAGGCTATGTAGCACCATCAAGTATGCGAGATAATCACGAGGGCGCTAAATAGTTTCGCCTCAAGGTACCAGCCACCGATTTAGGGAATCGGTGTTCGATTTGTCAAATACAGCAACGGTAGTTTGGCATTTTTTCCAGCGCGTTTAGAGATTTTTTCAGCATTAGGCTGCGGCACCACCCTGAACTTTATGGCCACTACCACCACTAAGTTTGCCTCTACTAAACCTCCATGTACCAACTTAATTTTTGGAATTAAGGAGCCAGGTCTACCAACTTTTAGATAGATATACATCTAAACTTAATTAGGTTAGTGACAACTATTTTGGAAGGTAGACGCAAGGTCAGTCAAAGGCATCACACGTGAAACTTTCAGTAATGCAGCGCCTCCATTATAGGAGTAATGTCCGTGTCTTAATCATTGCAACTGCCTAGCAAATACCATCTGTAGTCGGGTACAGAAATAACCCAATTGTGTAGGTTGCCGTCGTTTAGTCAAAAAAACTAAATTTTCCAAAGCCAATAGTACCCACGAATAGAAAACTCCGTCAACGTATCAAGCTTTTTATTTAACACTGGCATAAAATTTAAAAAATCTCTATACATGTTTACAAGAGGACAGGTTGAACGGTGTCACTAAACACTCAAGTATGAAAGTTTTAAGTTGTGAACGAGGCCGGCCACCAATACCTACAGGTAGCATGGTCTCGGGGCGTTTATAATGAATTATCAAGTCTATTTACCCCAAGAGGTTGCACGGGAGTGAGTACCCCGCAAGTGGTAGACGTTTAGTGAATCTAGGCTTTCGTCTTAAACATCTTTAGTCTCCGGGCATTCGTCCCCCAGAACCGCCCCCCCCCCCTCCCCATTTAGGCCTTTATAATTTTATAATTAACTTTAGTTTCATTGTTTAAGAATCAAAAATTCAACGTGGCAAGGGCTATGGCGAGTCCATAGTATAATTTTCTAGAATACTGGTTCCATAAAGTAAGCAGATTTGTGTAATTAATCTTTAATTTTCGTAAGTAAAGAAACTAGTCAACACTAGAGTTTCACGATTATCCGAAATGCATAATAGGCCAAATTCTTTCCATTAGTAGAATCAAAATCAAGCCTGAAGATTTCACTTTTATTCAAGAATCAAATTTTATACTTTTGTATTTGTAACCAAGTACTGAACAAACCTTAAAAAAAATTAGCGTCTTTAAACTAATGCACAGAAGTACCAATCTTTGGTATAAATTTTACAAAATTTGTTTTATCATAAACCTTTCCAAAAATCTAAACAAGTTTTAAGAAGACCAAGGACATACTGCTAGTTTTAGTTACATTAACTAATAAGCAAGAATAAATGACATTTCTTTTACACGGAGAAGACTTAGAGGTCCAGTACCATGAGTGTAGCGAGGCGTCTGGGGCCTGCATCTATTCCTTTGTTAATGTAGCGGTAAACAGCTACCCGGGGTAAGAATTTGGGTGCATCCTGGTGTAGCGAGGGGTAGACCAGCTTCCCATCCACACGCTCCCTGTCAGAAGAGGATCAGGTTAAGCAAATAGGTTGAAAATTTCTTGTCAACTGAAAGTTTTAGGAGCAAGGGAGAACTAAGCAAATAGAGTGAACAGGTGTATTGGCAATCATTTCAGTAGAAAGTTAAAAAAAATTGAGAAGGGTAGTAAAAATTATCTTGCAGGTGGACTTTAAATAATGGTAATATTAGAAAATTGAGGCAGAGTCCAATACAACCTTTTATTGTAAAAAACTATATCCGGGGGGGGGGGGGGGGGTAACTACCACCGTTAAAATATATCTCCAAGAAACCCAACAACCTCAATTTAAGACTTAAGGGGGGGCTCTAGATTAATATCCGGTAGATTTAATAAAGCATTACATTAAAACAAAAAACTTACAAGTTAATTAGGAGTTGCCGTCTTCAGGAGGTACATAATGGAGTTTCTTCAGCCCCCACATCAGAAGAACGGCCCCAAGAACTCCAGGAGTTTGTCAAGCCGAGAGAAGAAGTCAGCTACGCGAGGATCTTCCTGCAAAGATACTACCAGGTCAGCCAGTTTCATGGCTGGTGAGCATGGCATTTACACAGTCATACAACTAGCCTGATTCGAGGCAGTTGTATAGACAAAGTAAAGAGATCTAGTTTAAGGCCCCAGTCTAGCATTATATTAATAGGGCCAGTGCTAGGAGACGGCAAGTGCGCGTCTTGTCAGATACTTAACTTAAGGAAGTTAGTGTTTCCACATTTGTCCATACCCATCAAACTAAACAAGAAACAGCTCAAGACCAACATGTGGATTAAAGTCTATCTCTTGCTCAGGGTCCTGTAGGTCGTCTTGGAACTAATTAACACTTTGGTTAACGTCCCTTGGCGAGTCTACAGATTTTTATAGATTTGTACGTGATAAATCTACACGGTAGATAGCGTGTAGAGTCAAGTATTGCAGTATCTGGGGGGTGGCATACAGTGCAATGAATAAAGTTAGGAACTTCATTCCAAGTTGCTACTGTATCTATTCTACAACCAAGTGTTAGAAGTTTCAGAAACTTCTCCACCTGGAGCTATGGGGTTATTGCGTTCAACATACACGGGTATGCGTTACATTAACGCATACCTTATTCATTACATACATATCAGTTAAAAAGAGATTAAACTTAATGAGGTACTAGTCAGCTTCGTGCAGCTGTCAAGCTGGAAAGCTTCGTATGGTTATAACAGGATTCTAACGCCTTTATTTTAACTATTTCCTTCCATTCAAGGGAAGGAGTCTTAAAACTAAGTTTTAATAAATTTTCTCCAAACGAAAATTTGGGAAAACCATTAAGTTTTTGTACTTAACTTACACAAACATAACACTTAAAATTAAATTTAGCACCTTAATAAATACATAAGCGTTAAGAAACATACATACAAGCTCACCTTTTAACGAGTTTGACCAGCCAATCACCTGGTCAACACCCAATCACCTGGACACACCAGATTACACTGACCTCTCACCCGCTCGGCCCAACCCACGTTAGCTATACTGAAGCATTATAGATGCTTCACTCCATGCGAAATGTCTCGAAATCTTTCTCACTCGCAGAATTCAAAGCGCGGTTCCATTTCTCTGACGGAACGAGACGTTTCGCCACGTTCACTGCTGACAGTCAACGTAAACAGTGACCACATGCTCGTTAATTAGGCCGTTAAACTCCAGGTTGTTACAAACAGAGATCACACTAACGTGATGCATCAAATGAACAAATCCACAAGGGCCGTGACGAGGATTCGAAGCCTTTTAACCCTGTCGTAGCTCAGTCGATTAAGGCGGTTTCTGGGATGCTCCCGGACGCAGGTTCGAATCCTCGTCACGGCCCTTGTGGATTTGTTCCAGGTTGTTGTTGTTTTATCAATAAAAAAAACACTTTTCAGACAACCCACAACTGATGATGTTCGTTTTTTTTCGAACAGTGCTTCGCTTACGACCTCTGTTCGAATCCCAACGCTGTAAATGCTTCACCCACGTGCTCCAAATACAAATAATCGCCAACGGAACCTAAACACCTAACCTAACCTAACTATACATAGAACTTTAATATATAATAATGAGAACAAATTTATTTTAAAAAACACAATAGGTTTAAATTAATGAACACATCTTGGGAAGCGGCCTCAGCTTTGACCACCCCATCCTGAGGACAGGTTAAAGACGAAATTACCAACAGAACCTAAACATGTAGCCTACTACGCCTAAATATGCACATTATGCTAATATGTAATAATATTAATTTATATTTGAGAGCCATTCTTTCCACACGCGTGGGTCGGCCGCATGCTCTGAATAGCATGCGTTTTGAATAGCGTTTTAAATAGTATGTCAAATAGTATGCGTTTTGAATAGCGTTTTGAATAGTATGTCAAATAGTATGCGTTTTGAAGCGTTTTTGAATAGCGTTTTGAATAGAATGTCAAATAGTATGCGTTTTGAAGCGTTTTTGAATTGCGTTTTGAATAGAATGTCAAATAGTATGCGTTTTGAAGCGTTTTTGAATAACGTTTTAAATAGAATGTCAAATAGTATGCGTTTTGAAGCGTTTTTGAATAGCGTTTTGAATAGAATGTCAAATAGTATGCGTTTTGAAGCGTTTTGAATAGCGTTTTGAATAGCGTTTTGAATAGAATGTCAAATAGTATGCGTTTTGAAGCGTTTTTGAATAGCGTTTTGAATAGAATGTCAAATAGTATGCGTTTTGAAGCGTTTTTGAATAGCGTTTTGAATAGAATGTCAAATAGTATGCGTTTTGAAGCGTTTTTGAATAGCGTTTTGAATAGAATGTCAAATAGTATGCGTTTTGAATAGCGTTTTGAATAGAATGTCAAATAGTATGCGTTTTGAAGCGTTTTTGAATAGCGTTTTGAATAGAATGTCAAATAGTATGCGTTTTGAAGCGTTTTTGAATAGCGTTTTGAATAGAATGTCAAATAGTATGCGTTTTGAAGCGTTTTTGAATAGCGTTTTGAAGACATTCTTATCTTGGATTGTGAAGGCTGGTTGGATAGCCCAACCTGTCCTCATAATAGAACGTCGTATTTTGACGTATATTCTACCTAAGGTAAATAAATTGTCGTACTAGAAAATGGCAGCGGCTGGCGAAATTGACATATTGTCCCGTTTTCTGTTTTGGGTCCTCTGGTAGGTTAGGAGAAGGTCACTTTAATACGACATTTTCTTGACGTTGGTAAACATTAGGAGGACATGCTAATATTTACCAACATTTCACAGGTTATCTTGAGGTTATCTTGAGGTTATCTTGAGATGATTTCGGGGCTTTTAGTGTCCCCGCGGCCCGGTCCTCGACCAGGCCTCCACCCCCAGGAAGCAGCCCGTGACAGCTGACTAACACCCAGGTACCTATTTTGCTGCTAGGTAACAGGGGGTACAGTACTAGGTAACATGTTCTACAACCTCCTCTCATTGTATGACCTTGCATTTGCTGAGGTTAAAGTTTAGTATCCATCTGTTCGACAACGCCTGCAGTCTTTAGATCAAGGAGCATGTGATTGTCCTATTGATTCTCCTCATCAACTTTGCATCATTACCCGACAGTTGTTCAAAGGAGATCAATTCCTTTGAACAAGTCTTGTGAAAATTCCACCACGTTCTGTTCTTAGTCTCTGTGTCGTCCTCCGCAATCTGCCTAACATTCTTGATCGTGAAAATAACAACCCAATATTTTGAAAACATGAGGAAAAGTAGAATCTATAGTTCGATCCCAACACGGTATCAGCATTCTTCATCTCCTCAGAAATATACAGGGTACATTTCCTCGTGTGTTTAAAACAGTGGGGTGGTATTATTTTTATTGATTACTGCGCTATTGCACTTTATTCTCATTCTTAATCATGTATACGTGCAATAATGTTGGTATATGCAGGTATATATGAATATGTATGTATGTATTTAAATGTGAATCATACGTGACTGTAATACCATGTTTGACATGCGAGGTTTTTGGACGTGAGCAAACAAACAAAATTATCTTAAAATGTTCAGCCTCTTGTTTCCCAGAGACCACTAAGATAAGTCTTCGAGGGATGCTGCCAAGGATCTCAAGATGCTGATAAATAGCTTTCCACCTTCTTAGGC